CCTGTAAGAATAGCTTTTGAGTCTACTGACAAAACGTGGTGTGGAGAACAGATCAGAGATGTTAATTTTGTTCTAGTTTCATGACACTTGTTTATACATAGAAAAGGTGGATGCTAATAGTGCCCTGAAGGGGCAAAGAAAAAAAGACCATTAATTCTCACTTGGTTTGGTCATTTTGTCATCCAGTTGGCCAGTCAGCTCGCATGTGCTTCCTGTCTAACTGATGACCTAGTGAATATAGGTGGGAGTGTGAAATGTAGCTGTTCAGGGCAGTATAAAACCATAGGTAACTGCTGAGATTTAATGCAGTAGAGAATATTGGAATGAAAACCCAGCATTCCTTGTGTTGCTTTCAAAGCAACTTGTTGAAGTATCAGATCTCTGAGCAGTTTGAAGTCGTGTTTACTTGCTCCGTGTATTTTTTAGGGGCATTTTAGAGATGCTGTTTGTTTACTAAAGCTGTAGAAAATGCTGTTGTTTAATACCTGTCAGACTTAATGTAATGGAAAAACAGGTGATGCTTGCCTGCAAATTAGAGGAGACCTGCTCTGTTCTGCTGAATTAAACAGCCGAAATACTGAATTAGTGGATTGATCATGCAAGTCTTGTTAAGGCACTTCACTAACAGCATTAGCTTGCTTGTGGTAGTGAAGAGTGATGTACTGAGTATACAAATAGGACGCTTGCTGTCCATCTGCATCTATCCGAAACTAGAGTTGAGGGACTACCTGAAAGGTCATGAAGACCTTTGCATACATGCTGTAATCTAGTGATTAACTTCAAGGTAAAATTTCATAGCAGTTACTGTCTATGGATACTCAATTTCTACTTCAGCTTTTGTGAGGGTCTTAATGTATTTTGTGACCTTTTTGAAATTCTTTTTTAGTTTAAAGAATGCACTGCATCTTGATGGCAGGGTGATGCTGAAGATCTCCCTGGCAGCAGACACTGACTTTTTTTTCTTCTCTAGTTGTACAAGGGCTCACAGAGCAAATTTTTTTTTTTTGGGTAGGAAACATCTATGTTTCTGGGTGCAGAAACTACTGTTTCTCTTGCTTTTTCTGCTGTCAGGCTGACTTTTCTGTCTTGTTACATGTTACTAGTAATTTATCAAGGAGACGTTTGACTCTTCCTGAGAGAGTTGGGCAGGCCAGCTGGCTGCCACTTCTCAGGGGCCGACTGCTGCAGGAGGTCTCCTCGGACTTCTGCTTTGTGAACATCATTTGCTGTTTTCAAGGGGGAAGGAAAAGCTCAGCCAGCACAAAGAACCCTGGGTACTAGGTTTTTTTATTAAAACTTTGATTCTGGACTTATCACCAGGGGAAAATGAAGTCGGAAGGCTTTTAGCTATTTGTTTCCCAACCTCCTTTTTCAATATTTTAGCAAGTTGCATAAGGAAACAGAAAGTTGGTTGTCTTCCAGTGTAAACTGGCAGGTCAGACATGAACTGTTCCCTTTTTTCATTCTACCTTGCTGTAGGTTGTTCTGCAAGGGACACAATGACTTGATCAAAACAAGATTAACCAATTGTTTGCCAGAGAGCAAATGTTGTAATTTTAATATTTGACTTCGGTTTTAATGGGTAGTGACTGAGACCGAGTGCAAGTATTTTAAATTTCTTTAAATATTAAAGGGCTGAAAGGTACAGTTATAGCAATTGTGTTCTTCTAATTTTCTCCGTTATCTGCCAAGGCATGAAATGCTGTTTGTGTGATACTGTTAAATCACCGTTACTGAAATACTTAAAAAAGTTAGTCTATAACTGACCTTCTTTCCTGTCCTGGTCTGATTTTTCAATGGGTCTATTTTTGTGAAATACTGCTTCACATTATTGTGAAACTAGCAGGATGACTTCTATTTTCCACATTTAGTTCTTCTCCACATTTAGTAGATTTCAGTCACAAATGGTTTCTAACTGTGCAACTGAAGCTTTCAGATTTTTGTGTTCTTATGTTAGAAAAAGGTTCGAAGCAGCTTTGGGACAAAACCAATGTTCATTGTGTTGACGTGAAATAGTCCAGCAAAAAATTACCAAGAATATTGGTGGACTTGCAAAACTTTCAGTTGTCAGAAGCAGCCAAAAAAAGGTAATGAAAACAATTTGGTATGAAATGGGGAAATTGTACTATGAGGTTATACTGAACAAACTGAGAAGTATGTGCTCGAGTGGCAATACTGACTATGGCTTTGTTCAGCTTTATTTGGTTGCAGCTGTTCTGTGATCCTGATCTTTCAATGAGTCTGGAGAGAAACTGGAGGAAAAAAATAATCATGAACGCAGTTATTCCAGATGAGACAATAACCCAACATTTCTCAGTCAATAAATAAGTCTCTGTGATACCTACACAAGAGTATCCAGTAGCATTTCCAGCTGCAGAGCAGGCTTTTAAAGCTGTTGAGGTGAATTCATAGGTCAAAGGATCAAGTGGTGATTGCTTTCCCGCTGACGTATACAAGCATGAAGACACTAGGTGGGTAAAGACCTCCAAGAGTAGCTGTTTTCTCTCTCTTACTTGCAAAGAGAAAGATAAGTACTAGTGATAACTGTTTCAGTCACAGACAGCCTTCTGAACTATGGGTCAGGAGACTTAGTAGTTGAATAGATCCTCCCAGGAGGTTGGTGCAGTTTCTGATTGTGTCAAAATATGATGACAGCCCGGCAGATGCTAGGAAAATTCAGAGCTGTTTGAAAGTAGCAGTCTGTAGCAGGTTTTTGGCAACTATTAGGCTTTGCAAACTTGACTAAGCAGAGAAATTTGTATCATTCATTCATACCATGGAAGTCAGGCAACAGAGGTGCTCAGTCAAGGGAGAAAGGCTCCAACAGTTGCTTTCAGAAGTGGCTCTCAGGCAAGATCATGCAGCTCTTGCTCTTTTGCGTCATGAATGCTTCTTGATATGTCTGATTGATGTAGACTCCTTTAGCATCTCAGCTGAGATGCAGTGCTAAGTAAAAAGTAATAGAGCTGGTGGCTTGGCAGCAGCATGTTTTAAACCGCATTTCTTACAATACCAGCACAGAAAAATGTCGTTTTAGCCTTGTCTTTGCAGAAAGCATGCTGAGCTTCTACTGTGAAATAAAAATGCAAGTCTAAAATCTATAAACAAATGCTTTTTGCGAGTGGCAGCATGCTTTCTTTGAATACAATAATTGACAGTGTTTCACACTAGGAAATGAAAGCCAATTCTTCAGAATGACAGACCTCCGGTTTCAAGCAGAATTAAGTGCATATTGTAGTGTTGTCTTCGTTCTTGGTAGCTGTGATGCTCTCTATCTCAGTGGATTCTACTTGTATTATGAGCCCTTGCCCACATAACATGGCAAATAACAACCTGAATGCTGTCACCTGAAATTTTTATGAAAACGCTCAGTCTTGAACCACTGCAACTCCTGGCTGTGCTGTGCTGATCTGAGTGTGTGTATGTCTAATAATGTATTTTTGGGAAGATTTCCTACACGCAATTAAAACGTGGTGAGTGGCTCAAGAGACAGTTCAGCGAAACACAGACATAAGCAAGGCAATTTGTCAGTTTTGTGGCATTAATTTCATAGTGAAGGCGATTACAGTCAATGTTTATTTGCTTTGAAAGCGTATGTACTCATGGCCTTAGAAGCTTGCAAACTAAGCTGGATTGATGGGGGCAGTACAAACATCCATGGATGTTTGTGCCTTTCAAGGCCCAAGATAGTGTTTTGGGCAGTAGCGTGGTTTACATGATACGTTTCTCTCACATTTTTCTCACTCCTCCCTCCCACAGCTGCTATGCAGCATTTTCTACCCTTTCTTAAATATGTTGTCACAGGGGTGCCACCACCATAGCTGATGGGCCCAGCTTTGGGCAGCAGCAGGTCCATTTTGGAGTTGGCTGGAACTGGCGCTCTCCGACAGGGAGCTACTCCTGGTCTCTTCTCACAAAGGCCACCCCTACAGCACCCCTCGCTACCAAAACCTTGCTGCATAAACCCAATACACTTGTCGAAGCAGTTGGGTTGGTTTTTTTTTTTTTTTTTGAAAGCAGTATTTGGTATCACCCTTCCCTTTTCTCTTTTGTTTCATTGTTGAGTATTTTGATCTCTGAAGTATTTTCTAGAAACAGTTTAGTTATTGAATAGTTGTTTTTATTGGTAGCACATATATGGAGGAATGTTCACTGTGCTTTAAAACAATATCGGTCTAAAACTTTTCAGCTGTGTCATTCTCCCCTCTAAACACATACTCTCAGGCTTATTTCTGTTTGCAGACTCCCATTTCATAAAATGAAAGACTCCCAACATAAAATTTTGTGTTCAGGCCATATATTTCCAAATAGACGTTTTTTTCTGGAGACACAATTGTGTACATTGTTGAAAATAATTGTTGGATAAAATTCATAAGCATTTATTAGACATTATTGAAGATAACCCACATAACATATGTTCGTTTGAATGTTCTTGTATTTTTAAACAAAACCAAAGAAAAATTTTCTTACCAGTTGTTATGATTTAGTAGCATAATGTAGTACAATTATTTTAAGAATTAGGTAGTTTTAATGCAAGGTAACATCAGAAGTAATTTGTTTCTCTTCTTTGCCTTTGGTATTGTTTCAGCTAATGTTTCAGAACAGGGCTTGTTCACATAACAATGCTATTATTAATAACCTTAACATGCTTGAGGCCAATTGTGTTGGATATGTAGATTTACTAGAGAAATTGTAGAAATTTTTATCTTGACAATGAAAAAATTAACAAAAAGCACATATAGCCTGACATTTCAAAAATTCTGAAAAGTCCAGAAAACTGTCTTGCTTAAGATCACTTAATTATATTTGATCCATCCATTAAGGCTTCTGGAATATAACTCTAAGCATTGTATGCAAAAATTAGTTGGCATTCCATTAGAGTTATCTTGTATAAATACAAAAAACCAAGTAAAACTAGGTTATAACTTCATCTCAAACTTTGGTTACATGTAAGTTTGAAATTGTTTTTTATTTTTATTTTAAACAAATTTATTTTCTAGAAAAGAAAGATGTAACACAGAGCTTGGAAAGCTACACGGCAAAATGCCCTGGTACAATGGAATTCATCACTCTTCCAGATGGTTTGAAGTTACCTCCTGTTCCATTCACCAAATTGCCTATTGTGAGGTAAGACTCCAAAATACAATCTTTTAACTTTTCCACAGTACCTGTCAAATTTTAAAGGATACTGGAAGGACAGAGTCTTCTCAGTTTCCGTAAGCTGTTCACAGTAACATGGAAAAATGTCAAAATGTCAAATTGTATTGAGAAGTTCTTTGGCAAAAATAGAGCCTTTGAGCAGAAAATACTTTCTGTGGCCTTCAGTTTCAGAAGGAGAGAGGTTTGTTTTTTTTTTTTAACTGTCATTCAAGAGTTTCTAATACAATCAAAGGAAAGTATTTTGTAATTGCAGCTGAGACTTAAGTTAGATACCTGATCATACTGAAGGTCCACGAGTTGGATGCTGTCTCCATCCGTGGAGCCTGGGACTCAGCTGGAACTGATGCCTTTTGTAGCTGTTCCTTTCCAGATGCTGCATTTTCAAGCTGGCACCTTCACTGGCCTATTCTAAATCCATGTTCCTTCTTGTGCCTGTGTGCCAAGGCACATCATGCAGTCAGTCCAATGAATAATACCTTGTTCAGATTAAAGCCTAGCATGAAGTATTAGAGAGTCAGAGAGAAAACAGCCATTGGGCATCAATAATAAAAGAAAAGGCTAAAAGAAAATCTTTGTCAAGAAGTGGCTTTTTGAAGGAAAGATAATTACTATTCAGAAAAAATATGGTAGAAGTTATTGAAGAGTTCTCATAGAGATTTGAGTTCTCAGTGGGGTGTCATCACACGTGTCATGAAGCAAGAGTTCTGTATCACAAAGAGATAATAAAGTGTATATCCAAAGAGTGAAAATTATATTTATCTTCAGATTACTTTGTCATGATATAACTAGTTTTACTATATTCTCTCTAACTTCTTCAAATTTTTTTTCACATTTACTGAAGAAAGAGACCTTGTCTAACTATTTGTAGTGCATTTAACATGATAGGTATGTTCACACTAATAATTTGTTGCATGTGAGGTTCTTGCTTAAGGTGCAGGTTTGATTGGAGCATATGGTTGTATGCAGTCAGATGGAATTGTATGCGGAATCAGAACAGTCACACCGTTTCCAGTGGTGTCCTGGAAACAGTGTTTTTTTTCTCCTGGTTGGACCGAGTACAAAGCTGTGCGCTGACTAGCCACCTGGGTCACCCCACTTTCAATGTGTACTCACGGGGGAAAAATGCATCTTCCCTGGGGCCTTCCGGCATTGTCCCCTCAGTGGATTCACTTAGCACTGACAAATCATCTAGGATGACTTTGCAGATACCTGCTTTGTGTGGCCTGTTCAGTGGTGCAGTGCATACTTTGGAGTTGTAGCTGGTATCAACTTCTTTGCTGGAAAACGTGCAATGTGGACATGTGATCCCAAAACCTTAACTGTTAGAACCGAAGCTGTGTATTACAGTGGGAAAGTTATTTGAGTAATTTATTATCAGCTGACCTTGGGGTTGATTTAGTTTCACAAAAAAAATCTATGTGTAGAGCTGAACTAGCGATATTTGACTATCCTAGATCATATTTGCAGTCAAGACGCATAGGTAGTCACTTCCAGGTTTTGTAATCGAATTTAGATACCTGCTTTAGGATGAGTTGAATTACTGGGGTATGTGGACTGTATTGACTCATTTTCCATTGACCTTAAAGATGTCCAGTGACAAATTCAGGTAAGTGTCTGTGTGTTCCCTGTAAGTACTTTCTGAAGGCAGGTTCCCAGCTAAATACGTGAAGGAGGACTGTATTTCTTCTCCTGAAAGTTTTTAGACAACAAACTTAGTGCAAATTTTAACCTAGCCTTTTTTTTTTAGAAAAAAAAATTAAATAGTATTAAAAAAGAAGTTAATTACTTGAGTTACGTGATTGTAGAGAGAAGATAGAGCAAAAGCTCCCATGAAAATGTTTTTAAGGCAAAATACTTTCTTTTGAGAGCAAGAGTGCTGCCGGCCGCTTAGTGCCTCTTGCAGATCTCTGTTCTAGGAATAATCTTAGTATTACGCAGTACAAAACCAAAACTACCTTTCTTAATCTGACAGTGTATGGTATCTGTCTGCCTTGGCTGTCAAATAGGTGCAGAAATGTGATGCTAAAGTTCCCTTGAGTCTAACCCTTAACTTGTGCTGAAAAAGCAGCGTTGTGTTTAGCTGCGAAGTGTTAAATCCTGAATTAGTCTCAGGTTTTTGCTTTTTGCTTAAATTTTAAACTGTGGAGGAGGTGGATTGTGCTGGATGTATTCCATAGTGCTTTCTTGTTCTTCTCCATGCTGAATATTGAAGAAAATTCAAGTCTGGAAGATATGGGAAATGCCAATTGAATGCTTTTTTTATAGGAGTTGTACATATAGAGGCCAGTCAAAACTTTGGCAACAGATTACCAAGACTTCAATGGGAGAGGCTCTGCCTCACTTAAAATGTTTTGTATGCTGAGAGAAGGGGACAAGCACATTATATTTACTTGTTATTCCTAGGGCTAGCTTTAAGAAATTGCTTACCATCCAGGTGCTTCGTTTACGCTACCAGCTTGCACTGACCTGGCTGCGCTTGGAGTGTTGAAAATAGTTGCTGCTGTTTTGCCATGGTGTGAGGAACCCAACATCAACATTGTTTAACAGCTAAGAATTGCTGTTTGTGCTCCTCTCCCCCTTGCCCCTTCTTGTGTTTTGAAAGTTCTATAAAAGCCATAGTGATAAAAATCCCTAATCCAACAAAATATTAGTTGCGTCTAAATATATAGCCTCCAGTTACATCTACACAGCAGACCTAGCGTATTGTAGAAGCTGTCCAGCTGGTTGGAAAATAGCTGTGCTGCAGGACTGCAGAGCTCTTTGAGCTAAATCATGTTAATTTTTGAGACATAAGTTATAAGTGTGTGGAAATGTGGTTTTGATCAATGTTGAATAACCTAAGCTTATGATTCAATCCATGCTAGAGCCCTCTAGAAACATACACATTTACTGATTATGATGACTTCTATTTACTGTTGGCATTTCATGGTCTACTAGTTTGTAATCCATCTAATGTGGAGTGCTTATTTTGGATGCAGATTTCTTAATCAAAATACTGTGAAACATTGAAATGCCACAGTGAAATCAGAACATAGTTGCACTGTTACCTTTTTCTCCCCCATACCTATAAAGCAATAGAAGAGATTTGGCTTGGCAAAATCTTTATATTCCATTACTCATGTTAACTACTATTTAATGTCTAGCTGTCCTTTATTTAAGTATGGTATTCTTTATAGTCCTTCTTTTTTTTGTATTTATCCTGTCTTTTAACTAGATGCTTGGTCTATTATTGATGTGCTTTAAATATTATAATATTTTTATGTATTTTCTTTTAGCCTTTGGAATTTTGGGATTTTTTTCAAATACTGTAGTGCAATCTGGAAAGCTCCAGATTTTTGATGAAGCTTCAGAAATTAAAAGCATGTTGGATTGGAAAGTATTCCATTATAGCATACTATGAAATCATCATCTAGTATTTTCTCAAATAAAAAATAGAAGAATTTATTGTCTTTCTGTTCTAAGAGATGCACTGTTCCCTTTTTCAGAATTTACCTGTGTTAAAACTCATTTTCTTACTGATATACTTAAAAAAAAAAGAATTTTCTTCCTTTTCACCACTGATGTCTTTTAGTTGTCCTTACGTACTTTTCTTACTACTTTAAATTTACTTGGTGCCATTTTTTTTCCTTTCCTCTGTTTACTTAGTAGACTTGGTTTTTTTTTTAATTATTTTCATTTCCGCTCTAAACAAGGTTGTTTTTAATGAACACAACTTTTTCCAAATAGAAGATTTTGATCTTCTGGGTAGCTAGTGAAATTATTTTGTAATTCCTAATTGTCACTCATTTGAATTCGGTTCGGCTGAGCCAGGGGCTAGAAAATGTACATTGCTGAAGCTTTTCTGTCGTGGTTTAACCTCAGCCAGCAACTGAGCACCACACAGCTGCTCAGTGACTCTTCCCCCCACCCTCGGTGGGATGGGGGAGAGAATTGGAAGAGTAGAAGTGAGAAAACTCATGGGTTGAGATAAAAACAGTTTAATAATTGAAATAAAATAAAATCCTAATAATAATGATAATAATAAAAGAATATCCAAAGCAAGTGATGCACAATACAGTTTCTCACCACTCACCAACTGATGCCCAGCCAGTCCCCGAGCAGCGGCCTCCCCGGCCAGCTTCCCCCAGTTTATGTACTGAGCATGACGTCACATGGTATGGAATGTCCCTTTGGTCAGTTTGGGTCAGCTGTCCTGGCTGTGTCCCCTCCCAGCTTCTTGTGCACCTCCAGCCTTCTCAGTCGGTAGAGCATGGGAAGCTGAAAAGTCCTTGGCTAGTGTAAGCATTACCTAGCAACAACTAAAACTTAGTGTGTTATCAACATTATTCTCATGCTAAATGCAAAACACAGCACTGTACCAGCTACTAGGAAGAAAATTAACTCTAGCCCAGCCGAAACCAGGACACTTTCACACAAAGGTATTAAAAAATTTCCATGTGCCATGTATGACCTGTGAGGGTATAGCTGTCTAATATATGGCTGAAGAACATTCTTTCCACTGTCATGCCTTAAGATAAAAAAGGTTATCCACCAGTATGTATATAATAATGATGGATCAGCCCAAGCACTACTTTATATAAAGTAAAATTCCTTTTTATTAGCACTTTATCTAATTTAATGTTTGTTTCCTCAAATAAGTATCATTCACATGTTTTGCTTTAAGTTGCATTCTAGTTTGTAACAAAATTCTATCAAAAGAGTTTTCAAAATATGAAATAGTCAGGAATCTGTCATAGTTTCTCTCTATTCCTCAGGCTTGTTGTCTACTATTTTGCATTTGATTGTGATGCTGACATTAAATATCACCAACAGATAATATATGGATGTGATTTATTTCTTGTTCCAAAATACTTTGTGTTATCTAGTAACTTCTTAGCAGGTGTTTTATATCACAGAGATAACATGTCTGTGTAGTGTTACTCTTACAGCCTCATTATTTTTCAGCAGTAGCGCATTATCTTGAATGA